CCCCAAAACCCCAAAACCCCAAAACCCCAAAACCCCGTTTTCCACGTATTTAAAAGTATTAAGATAAAAATTAAATTTATTAGGTAAGTAAGATATTCGATTAACTGTAAGCTATCTTAGATGAGCCAAGTAGCCTCAATTTTTTAATCAGTGATAGAGTGGTTTTAGAAGGATTCCAAAGAGGCCTGCAATCAAGCAGCTCAATGAGAATATTAGCATTGGATAAGGTTATTCTAACAGTGCAATTATCGGTGATAGAATCGTGATGAATCTCGCAATGACATTACAAATACCAAAAGCAGTAGCTTTCAATAGAGTTGGGAACAGTTCTCCCATAATCACATAAGTTACATTAAAAGCCACTGTGACTCCAAATTTAGAGAACAGTACATAGTAGAGAATATTTGAACTTCTTAGGACTGTATCTTTTGCAATCCAGAAACCTGCACTTCCAAAGAAGGCCAAAAGATAGCTAAATATTAGACTTTTCTTATTAGGGAAGATAGTAGTAATAAAGTAGCAGAATATGTTAGCAAATATCTCAGATATTGATGAGGCAATGGCAAGTTCAAACACATTGTAGGAGTTTGACTGTAGTTAGGTGTTAATGCTTGAAAGGAAGTAAGGAATAAGGTAAAAGCCAAATGAGGCTGTAGACCATGAAAATATCATGATTAGCAAGTTAACTAAATAAGATGTCTCTTGGAAGAGCTTTTTCACGCTCTCGACTTTTTTCACATCTCCTATCTTCTTCTCTTGTTATAACAATACATCCTTATCTTTCTCATCGTCTCCTAATAATCTCTATTTCTAATCATGCATATTGTAGCCAAGCAAGTCAACAACTCTTCTTTGCCTGCTTACTCTGTTGAACTTGGCAATAGTTTCAAAACTTTTCTCAGCCTCTTCTTTTTAGTTTGAACTGAGGAGGTATCTAGGGCTCTCTGGCATGAATTACATACAGATGATACAGGTAAAAGCCATTACTATTGCGGAGTAATTAAGGTAGACCCAGTTCTTAGTTATCTAATAGAAATATAGATCGTAGCAAAGTTTAGCGAATCCATGAGCCATGAAAATGTTGATTCCTACATAAGTCTGATGTGTAGTTGGCATCAACTCCTAAAGGTATACAAAACCAACGTAGTATCTACCTGCTTCAGAGATACCTCCTAAGAAGATAAGGAAGTAGTTAAGGTAAAGACTAGTGCTGAAGGGATAGATAAGTGAGGTTAAAGCATAAAGTATCAGGCCAAACATATACGGCTTCTTACGTCCATAAATGTCAGCAAGACGTGGAATAATGATGCTGCCAATGAAGGCGCCTATAAAGAATGATGATCCAATAAATCCTAGTTCATTATCTCCTATACAATGAAGGTCCAATTACTGGACCCAGTTATTCAAGCTCTCTTCTTTAGTGTAGTCAACTCTCCAATTGATATTTTAATTGCCACAGAATTCTTCCCTCTTGCATTGATAGAATTTACTTTCTCCTGCATTCTGACATTCATAAAGTGGCCTCATTTGAAAATACCAGAGATTATACAGAACTTGAGACCCACTTAGGATACCAAATATAATGATTAGGTTAGCTGAGATCTGAAATCTCCCAAAACCACCAGCTTTCCTGAACTCGTCATCTTCAAAAGCCTTCAACTAGGCTCTCTTTCTCTCAATCTCCTCAATTGCTTCTGTTGGCATGCTTTATTAAATTGTCTAATTACGTTTATTAATTTATTGCATTTAGTTGATATCAATTTTCAATTTATAATAGATCTTTGGGGTTTTGGGGTTTTGGGGTTT